CAGATTTTATTATTATTTTTATAATTAGGGGGTTAGACTATATGATCTCTAAGGTCCTTTCCAGCTCTGACAATCTATGAAAATACATATTCATTTCCCACTCAAGTTTCTTTCTTGAACTATAGGTCATGTCAGTTCACCTATGTTCATATTTATATAGTATATAGCATATATTTATTTTCTTCATATTTATATAGCATATATATATAATGCTTCTGCACAGTTCTCAGTATATTAAAGCCTTTTCCTGACTGCTATGGCCTTTCCATTGACCTTTAAGCAATCCACAAGTCAAACAACTCAGAGAATTGTATGACCCAAAAAGGAGGTAGGTTATTCATAGTAAGAGTGATAGACAATCTAGACAGACTCTCCTAGAATGATGAAATATCAAAATATCTAGGGCCCGAGCATATTGGAGACCCTGTGGGAGGCTGAAGGGAGGACAAACATAAGAGGTACACGGAATGAAAACAATGTGAATGGGTTGTGATCTATATGTAGTATGTAATTACAGGTCTGGAGGAGCCCTGGAGTTGACTGACACGGTCAAGCCTTTGCTTTAGGAAAATCATTTTGGCATCTGGAGGAGAGTTTGAGACAGGAACCACAAATGGAAGACTATATTACAATATTCCAAAAGAGAGATAAGTTCCTGAACTAGGGTAGTAGCTGTGTATCTGGAAAAAAATGAAATGTTATAAAGGAAAAAAAAAAGATTTGGCAATTAATTGGATATGTGGAGGGAGAGGAATCAAGGATGGCACTGGGGTTGCAAGCCTGGGTAATGGTGCATCAATGAGGGGAGAGGTTGGTAGAAAATGTAATTAGTTGTGTTGGAAAGGAGCTTCAGATGCTTAGAGAACATAATTTAACTTGTTCAAAAGGCAGCCAGTGATGTGGGACTAGAACTCAGAAGAGAAACTTTGGCAAGAAATAGAGATCTGGGAATCATTTGCCTCTAGATGATATCATAAAGTGAGATGGGGAAGGGAGAACAGGAAAAAAAATTATAATAGAGGGAAAAGAAAAGCAAACTCAGGATAAAAACCACAGGGAATACTCAGTTGAGGAACGTAACACAGATGAAGATCCAGTGAAGGATTTGTTGATAGGAAAACCAGGAAAAAAATGTCACAAATACCAGAAAGGAGAATATGTAGGGGAAGAAAGTGATCAGCTGTGCCAAATTTGGTAGAAGTCAAGAAGGAAAAACACTGAATAAAGGCCACTATATTTGGCAATTAAAAGATAACTGTCAACTTTGGAGAGGGCAATTTCACTTGGATGAGGTTGGAGGTCAGATTGCAGAAGGTTAAGAGTAGAGGGAGAGGAATGCAGAAGGCAAGTGTTCTATAATTTGTATAGTCTATGAGAAAAGTGTAACAGCTGACAATAGAGGACTTGAAGGTTTGGAAAGCCTTTTATACACATTATCTCCTTTTACGTATGAGCAACTTGTCTATGGTCCTGACAGGTAATAGGAGTCAGAAGGAAAAATTTGAATCTCGGTCTGACACCAAGACCAATACTCTATCCATAATGCTAAGCTGATAATGCAGTAAATTTAAAAATATCATGCTGTCTCATGGTGATATAGGTATTCTACAAATAAAAGTTTCTGAGATGATAGAATAGTGTAGAACTGAATACTTACAACAATCATTCTGCCATCAGATATAATTACAGCAACTGTACCTAATAAAACAGGATTAAGGAAGTATTTCTTTGGGAAAGTCTATATGTTGTGACCTTAAGCCCTGATAAAGAATCCTAAGTTTGTTAGAAAATCTGAAATATTACTTCACAGTTGGTGAACACAGATATTCTAACTTTCCTAATACAAAAAGTGGATTATGAAGGTCTAAAAACTCTGTAAAAGATACCCTCCCTGTTAACCGAAACAATAACAACAAACTAGCAACAGTGTTTATAATGATAACAATCACATCTTTGGCATTTTTAGAAAAAAAAAATTACTCTTTCAGCTACGTGATTCAAACGTTCAGCCCTAAAACAGCTCTAAAGTTTAACTAAACTTACAGAGTGCTTTTTCAGCTTTTGGCACTGTGCAATCTTAAAACAACGTTCTTCACCTAACTTCCTCTAAGGAGTCCAATTAAAGCCGACAGAAGTTCCAGTAAATGAGGACCTCCAAATACAATAGTAATTTGCTCTCTCTACCCCTGCACACTCTAGACAACAAGAATGAAGGATTGAAATTTTGAATGGTTTCTTTCTGGGGCCCTAAATTTAAGGGCATTTTAGAAGCCTTTTCTTGTTTTTATTTTAGACACGATCATTCCCATTTCTTAAAGAAGAACCCACTTGACCAGTCCTTTGTCATATATCAAACTCTTACATCTAGCTCTACAGAAGAGGACAAGATGGCTCTCTGCTGCTGCTTATGCAATGGAGGGAGGCTGGCATGAGGAATGGAATGGCTGCTGGACCAGGGAAAACATTTTTTGGGGAGTAAGGGAGGTTGAGAAATAAAGAACCACAACTAGAAAGAAAGAGTCAGATATGGAGCAGGCAGTTTTATTTCCAGACAGAAAAGAAAATACTAAGTAATAAAGAATCATACAATGATGAGACTAGAATCCAATAATTTATCACTATTAGATACCTTAGTAAGCTAATATTCAGTTTTTGCAGTGCTGCTAATCAGCTCAATACATTTCATCTTCACAAGACACAACAAAATTTTACACTGAGTGTAATTTTCTTTCTGATTTTCAGTCTCTCTTTTTGTCTCTTTTTCTGTGTCTGTTTTTCTCTCTGTCACTCACTTTCTGCCTCTCTTCCCCTCCCTATCAAAACGATTCCCTTGACACCATCTCACTCTTCCTGCTGTAATTATAATCACCCTGGCACAAGCTCTTGCTTCTATTATCTTTAGCTTCTTACAATATTCTCAATATCAGCACTAAAGGAAGGAAATACACCAAAAAGTCCAAGGAAATCTAGAGGCCCTGGCAGAAATCTAGCTAGTAGGGTCCATGCTAGACTCTCCATATGGGAAGCCCCCCACCAACTTTCCAAGAGTCTTCTGTGGAGAATCCATCCAATAATTATGATAATAATAATAATAATAATAATAGCTAACATTTACATAGTGCTTACCACATGTTGGGCCCTCTGCTAAGCACTTTGCAAATATTATCTCATTTGATCCTCACAACAACCTGGGGAGGTGGGTGCTATTATTATTCCCATTTTACAGATGAGGAAACTGAGGCAAATAGAAGTTAAGTGACTTGTCTAGTGTCATATAGCTAGTCAGTATCTGAGATTGGACTTAAACTAAGGTCTTCCTGACTCCTAGTCCTGCACTCAATCCACTGTGCCCCCTAGTTACCCTGCAAATGCAAAGGGTCCCAAAATTATGCCAAAGTCCCCATATCAGGTACAGTGGCTAGCTAGATTGCCCTTGGATGAAAACACAGAGTCTCAACATGCACAAATTTTTGTCCTTTACCTGCCAACACCCTTTCCCCAAGGTTCAATTCTGGGAGAAGCCTGACTTTCAAATAGCAGAAGCAAGCTATGGAATTGGAAACTATTAGAACATCCATTGGCTCCTCACCCCACCTCTGCTTCACAGGGAAAGTTGCTATTTACAGTAATGTTGATTTTGGCTTTAATTTAGAGTTTCCCAAAAGAAGGAGAGAAAGGAAAAATGCTATCTCATCCATCAGATAATAGGACTGGTTCTTTTCTTTACACATAGAAAGCAATGATGAGCATAAGAGAATTACAGCATGCATTAAAAGAATAAATTAAATAGGATTTGGAAACTCAACTTGTAGCCAGCTTGTAACTTGTAGTTATCTGCCAGTTGGCTGAGAGTAAGTCTGGGTACATAATTCAGTTTGGTAATTGTTCTAATTAGCTATTTCACATTTTTCATGAATAGGTTCAATCAAACACCATATGTGTATATTTGTGCATATACATACATGTATACATATATACATATACAGACACATATACATACAGATCTCCAAGACAGATCTTGTCTAGCAGCTCCACTTTCTTAAATACCAGCTCTTCCTTTTGTTCCAGTCCACTCTTGCTGCTGCTGCCACCACAACTGACCACTTCAGTAGACATTACAGCATGCTTTAATGGCATACCAGGACCTCATGACCTTCTAGAACTTACAAGGTCACCTTGGCTTATTCATCTTGAAGTTGTTGCTCAGTTACCTAGTGACTCTGGAAGATATGCTAGTTCCACCATTCCCTTACTCTACTCTCCCATGAAGCTTTGAAGAGTCCTTATGACTAATAGGCATAAAGAAAAAGGAACATTTTTTTGGGTGGGGAGAAGGGCAGGCATTTGACCTCCCTATTGTTTCTTTAGTCAGAACTGTGTGTATACAGATAAGTCTTGATTAGAATAAATAATGAATTCCCTGAAGTTGTCCCACGTATTCACACTATTTGAAGTTACAGTTATGTAAAATATGGCAGTTGGTTCCAGCCCAATTCAAACATGTAGTGTCAGAGGCAGGATTTCTCTTTTTCCCATAGGGCAGGGTTCTTTTTACTGTTGAAGAGGCATCATGGTGTACTAGAAGGACGTCTGGATGGTAAAGCTTGCTGACTCCATCTTGTCAGAAAGCTAATGAACTGCAGGAACAGATGACACATGCTTTCAGGTAAGACCAATGGGCAATTTTGTTTTACTTGACTCTGTATTTGTTACAAAGGCAGGATTTTCATTTGTTTATTTATGTACTTTGAGGGGATGGGGAGAAAAATGAGGGAGTAGTGAAAGTGATTTCAAAGTGGAGAAAAAGAATATAAGGAATCTTTTAAAAATGTGTATCAATAATCTCTTCCCCTCTGACTTTCAAAGCTGTAAGAATGAAGATCAATACTATGACTATCCAATGATTCCAAAGAATCCATGATGACATACTATCTACCTCCTGACGTGGAAGTGGTAGCTTTAGAGGGCAGAATGAGGGATATATACTAGACATTTCAAAATTCTCAGAGCAGTTTTAAGCTTTAATAACTTCAGAAGCATCAACGCTAAAAAAAAAATGCAGATGTGCATAAATACTTGGCTCAGACCCGTGATTTCATCATCACAGGAACTCCCTGATGTAGAAATTTCCTCCATGGACAGTTTAACTCAAGGGTTGGTAAACTACAGCAAGCTGGCTAAATACCAACAATCCCCAGTGTTGTTTGGCTAGAGAATTAAGAATGCTTTTTTGCAATAAATACACTAAGACTTTATTTAAAAAGGAAAAAACCATTCTTAGCATGCAGTACAAAAATAAGCAGCAGCCAGATTTGATCCTCAAGTAGTGGTGCGAACAACCCTGTATAGCAAAATCAGGATTTGAATCAACCTAGGTTTTGTGATTAAAGACTTCACAAAAAAAGCACTGTTATCATAAAACTTGCAAAGCAAATGAAGTATTTGATTCGTTTAAAGTTTAAAAACAAAAAAAATGTAAGTGTACTGTAACTTAAAATAAGTTAAAAACTTATGATATATTTTCTAACATATTAGATTTGTTTCTCATTTATATATTTAATAGAAAATTATTAAATATTATATAAACATAGTTTATTTCAAAATTAACATTATTTCTTCTTTTAAGGCTAGTAATTTTTCTTAAAAATCTTTAAGTATTCTTGGGTTTCTAGGGAAACTGGATCCTCATTCGGATTTGTCATTTTTGAGGATCCATCAGTAAATCCAGCTGGGGGAAAAAGGAAGAAGAAAAAATAATTTACATTACATACACAAACATATACACATATACATACCTGTAATTTTTAAATTTTTTCTTGGGACTCATGATTCATCATGTTAAGGAATTCAGGGGTTAAGAATCATGAAAACGGTCACTGGTCCAACTTAGTCTTAGGGTTTCCTGAGCACTTTGAAGTTAAGTGACTTGCCCATGGTCTCATGGGCAGTATGTATCTCAGGAAGGATCTGAACTCAAGTTTTCCTGGAAGTCACCTACCATAGAGGGTTGTTTTGAAGCTCAAATCAGATATTATATGCAAAATGCTTTGCAAAGTTTAAAATGCTGCATAAAGGTCAGTCACTATTATTACACCTGAGATGTATGTTGGTTTTGGAGCAACTCATCAAATTGTTCATATAATAATTCTTTTTCATCCTCTGCAGTAGAAGTCATTATATAAGCTGCTATTATAATTATGTTCATGGTGGTCTGTTTGATTATGTTCATGTTGAGCTCCATTTCCTATTTAATTATGTTTATTATTGCCTTTGGGTTCACAATGAAACCAACCATGCCAATTATTTTATTTGCCTATTTGAGGAAAATGTGAACCACACTTCAAGTTAGCTGCAACTTCTTTCAATTTTCTCGTTAAATTGATAGCAAGGGTGTCAATATGAATATTACTTTGTTCTTTCAGTACTGATGGTCACTGGACAAAGACTGTAAATTAACATTCTAATAGTTAAACTAATATTTGTAGATGGTTTTTGAATTGTGGGATTCTTAGTATCTTTTACCCCCTTTCCCATCACTCTCCTGAAATCACCGTGGAATCACAGAATTAAACAGAATAATAGAATCTCAGACTTGCATATGACTTCAATGGTTCTCTAATACAAACAATTCTTGAACAGCAGTCTTCTTGATTGCATCCCCCCGAAGTGGTTGACTAGCATCATATCTAAAGATCAGAAGGAGCTACACAGGACTGGGTTTCTTTTTCATGGGATGCTG